TAGTATTCCATTGTGTAGACATACCATTTTTTTTAAAGGAAGCTAGTCATTTGGTGAAAATTTGAGATTCACTGTACAGTACGAGCGTTTCAAAATCATGTAAGCTTCTTCATGTAGGTAGAACTGTACAGGACCACTTAGTAAAATTAGCAAAAGCAACTTCTGTGGGCCACCATAATTATGAAGCACCAAAGAGTTTAAAAAAAAATAATTGTAGATTCAAAGCAATCATTTCAATTTCCATGGATAGAAAGATGCAGTACCTTGAACAGAGGCGGGGGAAAGTAAGCAAAAACATGACAGTGTAATAGCATTTTATCTTATGAGCTTCGTTTTTCTTTTATAACACAGGTGGCAAACACAAGGACCAAAGGCCGAATCCTGCCCTCCTTCTTTTATCCCGCCCAACACCTTCTTTCTACCTGGCAACAGCACCAAGCTCTCACTTAACTGTTAAGGACTAGTTACATTTATACAGTCCTAAAATTATATTTGGCCCTTTGAAGGCAACTGTGAGGCTAATGTGGCCCCTGGTGAGAATGCATCTGAGACCCATTTTAAAAGAGTAAGAGTGGAGAAATACAAAGGACCTTTAAAAGTAACTTCAGTCATGATAAATTATTAAAAGGGTATCTTTTAAAATTGAAAGCCTTACCTATATATTATTTAGAATACTATAAAGCCTTACTTATATATTTTAAAAATATTATAAAGAAACCACTACCTATGTATTATTTATACTGGTACCAAAAGGTCTATAAGCCTAAATCTCTTAGGGGGAGAATCTTGGGCATTTTAGGTTTGAGGCACTATCTCCAAGAATGCAAAATGCTATTTGCAAAATGTAACCATTAACCCATTAGTATTTCCCCTTAGAAAAAGCAGAAAGCTGAAAGCATAAGACAGGACAAGACTTTAAATGAAAGGAGCAACCCAGGGCCACTGGGTGAAGGCTGGAGAACCTGATGCAGGGCAAGGCAGGACCATGCACCATCATAGGGGAGTTGTTAGGGCTGGAATTAGATAAAAGTAGCCAAAAGGAACCCGAGGCAGGCTCCAGACTGTCTCAGCAAGGAAGATAGAAAGTACAAAGAGTGCTGAACAAGATAAACTGCCTTGTGCATGACCTTGTCTTTGCAGAAACTTATCCATTGTTGCAAGCAGGGAACATAGACATGTGTGTTCTCTCGAGATAGCCAATTGCTAACAGCTACGTCTGCTTCTGTATTTGCTTGCTTGCTCACCCCAATAAAAACCCCAGGCTGTAAGCGCCAGGTGCAACTCTCATCTGCAGCCATTTTGGCACCGGTGTCTCCAGAGACACCCCGAGAGTTCGCCCCTGCGCAGGTAAAACTTTGAAACTTTGGCCAATAAAGTTCCATCATAAACTCCTGAAGGCTTCTGACATTTGTTGCTCGCATTGGGGTATGTTACAGAGTGAGGCAGTTCTAGTGGGAAGTCAGGCCAAAGAGGCATCCCAGGAAGTCCCAAAGACACAATCTGCCTTCTTCTTCAGCTGGTGCTGAGAAAGTTCTCAAAGTACCTGCTGAGGTTAGAGCCACACATGTATAAAGAAGACAACTGGAGAAGGAGGTGTGTTAGAGGACAAGAGCACCTCTGAAGAGCTTTGGCAGGGAAGGCAGGGTCGGCTCCTTCGGTTGTCCTGGAAAGCATCTAGTATGAAATCCAGGTCCTGAGTGTTCAAATATTCTTAAGCCATCTTTCCTTAAAACAAACTGTGGTCTAAGGCAAGTCAATTAAAGACACGATTCATTTAGGCTATTAAGAGTTCAGAAAGTATCTGAAATTTTTATGTTTTATTTTGTATCAACATCAAAGGAATATTTAAGAAAGCAAATGCAAACCCATAAGTTAGTGACATTTCAAGTTAACTGAATAAAAAAAAGCATTATTTTACATATTCCCATACTGTACATCCTGTAACTGTACATAAATTTCTGGGAAGCACTTGTCACTTATAAAGTGAAGGTTTCAGAATGCTATGTAAGTAAACACCTGCTAATTAATATTTTAAAAAAACACTCCTTTGGAAGACTACTCTTCCTTTTACTTATATTTGACCTGCAAACACCTCCAGTCAAAGTTTCTGGAAACTTCTGGAAAAAAATCAGAGTAGACAAGGGCTAAGTGCAGACATAAGCAGTTCCATTTTATAAACAAAGTTTCGACCTTCCATTTTATTCCACTGAACTTCTTTGAATGGTCCACGAAGATAATTCCATTTGCTATCTTGTAAAACATCACTTTTTGGAAGGTCTTTACACTGGTTACGAGGAAACTGAACCATAATCTTGCTGCCACTTTCAGGGCCGTTGCGAACTGTGGAGCATAACCAAAATATCAGCACAGTTTGTTCCAGCAGAGAAGACAAGGGGCGATTGTCCCACTTCATTCTACCACGGCTACAAAAACCTGTCTGTTATCAACTTGAAAGTTCTGTTTAAAAGTGCTTTTCAGTCTCAGTATAATAAAAAGTAATTTACTAATGTATATATAGTAAGCTGTGTAAATATTCACGAATTAACCACTTGTACTATAAAAATGTGGCAAGATAAATTTTGGCTTAGAAAAGTCAAACGTCCTACATATTTTCAGAAAATCCCCAACTGAATTTTTTCCAAGAGTATTTAATAATCCAATCATTCAGTGGGTTGGTTGATAGATACCTAATATATAATGAAACTTAAATGTTCAGAATCAGGACAGGGAAGGAAAAAGAAAGATTATTCTGAATTAAGAAATTCAGCTTGTAACAGGCTTTATTACTCAGGGAAGAAGAATAGTGCATTTTAAAATTTTTATTAATAAAAATCTAGCATACCAACATTGTAGATTCATAAGCTGTGATCCTGTGGGGGAAAATTTCTATTTACCCATTCTTCCAAATGTTTAAAGCAGGTACTAGAAAAGATAGCTTTAAAACTACAGGCACTCCAAATAAAATTTTCAACTAGACAATATGCCTAAGTAACTATTAAAGTGCCTGACTTATAGAAGGTGTTTAATAAAGCACCTCTTTCTCCCTTTACCATCTTTCAGATCAGATATCACTGTTCCTAAATTTGCAGCAGTACATTTTTTTTTTTTAATTTTAAGCAGTATATTTTTAAAAAGCTCTTAAAGGTTTTAAACTGCAGGACTAACAATGTTGATGGCAGCTTCAAATGCTCTTTTACGAATGTGTTGCAAACAAACTTTTTGTAACTACTAGAAGAAAATAATCTGTTGCTCTGAATAGTAACAATAATCAGATAAATGTTCAGCATAGCTACTACATGACTCACTTTCTGAGGAGATAAATTACTCTTAGCACATGGACCAGTTAAAGCTAATTTAACTGCCAAAGGTTTCTCCTGAGGCAAAGAAGTAAAAGTACCTGAAATAGCATAGTCACCACTCGGGGAGGCCACTGTTATGGCGGAGGCATTGCCAATGCTCTCTATGGGCCCCAGTCCCACGTGATTACTGAAACTCAGCACTTGCCAGCCCATAACCTTGGCTAGCTGCTGAACTGCATGCACCTGATGCTGTGACATCTGTGAATGAAAAAGGAAACATTATTGTTAACCAGCATGCATATTTACTTTGCAGTGACCTGACATGACTGAACTTTTGGTGGGGTTTTTGCTGCCTAGCTCAGGAACCTTGCTCATGTATGAGGAATCCTCCTGTGTGTGACTACTGGGGAGAAGGAGCAGGACCCCGCTTCCACTGCAGAACAGCCAATACTTGCTTCCCCTGTTTACTGGCAGCTTGAGTACAGGCTGTGACCACTAACTGGAGATTCCCCATCTGGATCACTAAATGTGGAGTAACATTCAAAGTAGCAGGGCATGCTGAGTATCTTGCATTCACCCTTCCAATCTGCTCTCTGCCCTACTCTGCCCTGGGAGCCTGACTTGTGTGGTTATGTTAACAGCTTTCTATACCCCCTGGTTCCAGGCTGGGTTCAGATAATAGGAGCTGGCAGGATGGCAAGGAAGAGAGTGCAGTCATGGTGTTTATTCTCCTGGTACCTTCCCTGTGAGGCTGTTTAGGCTCGTTGTACCCAGTGAAAAAAGGCTGCTGGTCCTCTGAAGGTGGTCTGTTCTACATGGCTGTCCCCTTTAGGGTTCCTATCGCCTGACTCTCCTCTCCCCATGGCCCTGTTGGCTTAGTTACATGATTACTACTAGCAGCAGATCACACACCTTCCCTGATGGTTCTCCTGTGTCCCCACCTTAGCAAACAGATCCATAGTAAGCAGACCCTCCTAAGTATGCCACACGTTTCCCGTTAAGGTTCTGACTGCACCAAAGAAGCAAGTCAGTGTAAAATATTATGCTTTTAAGTGAGGATGGAAAGCATCAGTATTTTTTAGAATTTTATGTGACAACATAGTATCTTACATCAGCATCTCAAACCTACCCTCTCTCCTGTAAGTCAGTATTTCACTGGGTCATCACAACTCCCCAAAGTTAAGACAAATACTGTTATTACTTTATACTTGTTAAAAGAAAAGTCTAGAAGTTTGTCCAGTGTCACAGAGCAAGTTTGTGGTAGAGGCGGGACTAGAACCAGCACTTTCCAGGCTACCCTGTAATATGGGGAACTCTTTCACATGGCTTATGGTTAAAACATCCCACTTAATATTATGGATAATGGTCACTATAGTTTTGATCTGATCTTGCTTTTTCTAGTTTTCTGGGGTTAATACTTCTGCACTACTGGAGTGGCTGTAAACCTTAGCAAACATGAGACAAAAGTTTGATAGTTTCAGAATTGATCTTTATCTTTAACACAAACTATCTTTAAAGATCTTGATCTTTAACACAAACTAAGTGGAAACAAAACTAGAACAGTTTATCAATACTTTCAACTAAACAACAGATTGTAAGATATGCTCCAGAAATAAGATGGCAGAAAAAAATGGTTTTCTTTTTACAATTTACTGTACCTTACTTTTTACCCACTTTGTCTTTTAAATGGTTATGAGAGGAATGGGCACAAGACTTGCAGTCTGCAACCAGTACCTGAGACAGAAGGAAATCCTGCAGCTCCTGCTCCTGATGCGACAGTGTAATTACTCTACCATCTCTGTGTACGACTCGGATCTGTTCAACGCCAATATTCAACTGCAGCTGAATGGACCTGTACAGACACACATCTTAAAAGTCAGAAATGTTCCAAACCACCTTATGAATGCCACAAACACTAAACCTTAACATCAAAGAAAAAACAGATGCTTCTGATGACCTATATCAGGGGGTGGAGGGTTTTCTTAGGTTCAACTAAACCACCAGATTGGACTACCAGAGGCCACCCTGAGCACCAGTCCACTCAGAAGGACAGAGGAGAGGAGCCATAGCTGGCCAGCAGCCAGTGCCAGCTGCTCCTCTTTGGTGGCAGCCCCTGCACAAGACAGGCAGCTGTCAGCACACCAGCAGCATGCTTTGCTAAGTGAGAGGTGGTCCGCACAGGGTACACGTAGCACCTGCCGTGCCTCAGAAACTCACACCCGAAAAGGGCCACACTCTCTTGTAACAACTCCACAGGCAAAGTTTCCAGGGTCCTCACAAGAGACACAGCCTAATTTTAGAAGTCACCCACCCATGGAAGCCCAAATGCATTCCCTTCACATATTTGTAATTCGTCCCAGTCCAGATCCACTTTATTAATTCGAAATTGTTTTTGCCATAAGCCATGTTGCCCAGTAACTCACAGATGGCATCTTTCCTTACAAGGTTACTAGGGAACTAGAGCTAGAGAATTAACCGAAGGTCAAATTCTCATACAGAAAGGAAGAAGGTTTTGTCAACTCTTTGCCCTCTCCTGAAATAATCAGTGAGTCAGATTATGGACAGTATTAACTAGGCTTAGGTCACACAATGGAACTCAAAATACAGCCAATGAATAATATACAGATCATGACACTTTTCTAAACCAATGGATAAATTTTTATCATATGACATATACAAGAGACCCAAATTTCCTTAAGTCAAATAATCTAAGTGAACGAATGCAGAAAAAGTAGCATATATTTGCACATTTGACAGTGCCTGTTTTCTAACTTTTTTTTACAGTAAATATTTTGAAATATAATAGTTTGGCAATTATCTATATAAAATTGTAATTTTTAAAATTAAAGTTTACTGTATTTCTTTCAAAGAGAACAATATTCAGAAAGGTTTAAAAGAAGAGACTTATACATGAAATGAAAGTTTTAATTTCTTTCTTTTTTTAAACAAGAGTGTGAGGGAAGAGGAATTCTCATCACTATTGGTAGCATACTTGTGGCAACCACTCTGAAAAGCAATTTGGTAACAATCAGAATTTTGAATGCCTCATCTTTGGACATAGCAATTATACTTGTGGGACTTTATTCCAGATATACTTGCAGAGTTACAAATTATTTTGCTGACATGCAACTAAAATGTTCATCAACAGGTTAAAAAAGGCTTAGTACACACTGGAACAAAAAAAAGCTATGGAAAAGAATGAAGTAGATCTCTATGATAAGGAATATCACCAATATTATACTAATAAGTAGAAAAAGCACATCAATTAGTAATGATTGCTATTGGGGTGATGGAAATGTTCTGGAATTAGACAGTGATGATAATTATGTAATATACTTTAAAACAGTGTATACTTTAATACAGAGAATTTTGCTATGCAAATTATCTCTTAATTTTTACAAAGCACACACTACTGTGTAGAAGGGGGTGTAGGTAGGATAAGATACGTGTGTGTAAATGCATAGACTTTCCTACAGGATGTGTAAGAAGTGTTTTAAGTGCTTGCTTCTGGGGAATTCTAAAGTTGAAAGAATTACTTTCAACTTTAATTGGCATAAGATGGCCCCACCTATAATAGATGAGGGAAAGAGCATTTTACTACTTCCCTTGCCCCTCCTGATTCTGTCAAGGCTGCATTATCACTTTCTTACAGATGCTTCCGATGGGTCCCCTAACCATGCTCCCACAGCTGTTTGGTCTTAGTTCTAGACGTAAACAATTCAATGCGGAGAATTTTTTTTTCCTCTCCTTTGCGATCATGCTCTCTCTTAACTTTTTATAATAGAAAATTTAAAAAACAAATAAAAGTAGGGTATAATATAATGAAGGCCAATCACATAGACTTAACAGTTGAAAATGCATGCCAAACTTTTTATTTGTGTCTAGCACCCACTCTCCCCCTACCCACATTAGTTCATTATTTCCTCAGGTGTAAGGCAAGAAAACCATGACCCAGCTTCACTCCACCATCTGTTGCTAGAAGTTTCAAGATTGATTTCCTCTCCATGGGGTACTCTTTTATCTGTATTTGATCTTTTAAATCATGCTCATCTATTATTCTTTATTTTTAAGACACAGTACATTAAAACCTTCAGGTCACAAAGAGCATTATAAATATATTATAGTCCCCTATTCCTGAGGGTGGTGACTGTTTTGAGGCATGCTCGCTGGCTGGGAAACCTCTGTGACTAGTTAAGTCTCATGGACTTTGGCAATTTTCTGCTCCAGGCTGAAATTCCGTTTTTACTACAGCCCAAATATGTGATACTTACCTAACAGAGACTATTTTAGACATTCTCACCTCTCACTCTTACAAACACTCTACAGTTGATATAATTTATTGGAACGTTGTGCCACCCTAGCAAATAACCCCCCAAATCTTAATGAAATCACTCAGCAAACATCAAAACATAAAAAGCAACTTAACATATTTAAAGGAATAACTTAATTTTTGACACTTACTTGCATATTTGTTCATAACCTTGTGATGTAATTAAAACTTTCACGCTGGATTCATAAACATCATTAATATTGGACCAATGAGCCTGTATCTGAGGATCCTCGATGCGACTTGCTAAGCTGTCAATGGTTGCAGCAGTTCTTTTAAAAAAAAGAAGTAAACATTTTTAAAGCCCATCATACAGAACAGTAAGGTTATAAATCATAAATTTTATGGAGGTTTGAAAACCAGATGACTTTTTTAAAATACCACCATTTATGCCCTGGCTGATGTGGCTCAAACACAAAAAAGATGTATTTATGGCTTAAACACATCTTTCACCCCCAAATCCCTTACTCTTTTCACTCTATCTGCTGTCTTCTCTAACATGTCTTCCTAATTTGTTTACTAAAATTGGAAGAACCTAACTTTCCATTCCAAGACTACAAACTAACATGCTAATAAAAACCATGATTGTATTAACAGGAAAATAACTGATAATCAAAAGTAATAAAATATCATCCATAGAACAATTGTGTTCCTACACCCGAAATTCTGAACACTATCTAGACAATTACAAAGTAAAACCAGACCTTTTCACTAAGTACCAATAACAAAATAGAAGAACACCCTTCAACATCTGAAAAAGATATGTCTAGGTCCAGTCATGCCAAGTTCATTTGTAGAGGAGAAAAGAAAATGAACTTTGGAGTTGCACAGACCTGGGCATAAATCCTGGCTTTGCTACCATTTAGCTGTGCAACCTTGAGCAAGTTGCACAATTTCTCTAAGCCTCAATTTTCTCAACAAAAAAATGGGTTAACACTATCTACCTCACAGAATAAGAATTATATCAAGTCAGCATGTGCAAAAGTGCTTTCTAAAGTCCTACAGTGTGTGACAACCATAAAACATAAAAAGCTTCAAAAAAAAATATTTTAATCAGTTCAGGAGTATCTCATAGATACTGAAGAGCGTGTGGTGTTGAAAGGCACATTCCTAGTCAGCCGTCTTCCAAGATTGCAGTGCCATGTCAGTTACGTGTTAGTGGACCTCAGTCTCCCCCAAACCTGACGGGACCATTTACAATCACAGGCTCTTACACTGCAGCCACGTGCCTCCCTGGAAGAAAAGGTTAAAGCACACCCAAAAGAGCACATGTGAGATGACTAATAAAGGGAATAAAGGCTGCAGTTTCAAAACAAAACAGACACAAAACCCAGTAACTTTGTTCATCCTTACCTACTTCTCAGAAAAATATGCTTTGCTTGTTTAATTATTTTTTCCAGAAGTCCTTCACTAGACTGCAATGAACTAATTTCATTTTTATCAAAAGCTTGAGGACCAGAAAGTCTCATTCTCTTGTGGCCGAAAGGTGCACTTGCTGGATGAGGCATCGTGATGGAACTCAAGGTCTGCTTATGAAACTGGACCAAGAACAGTTGTTATAAACCACCAGTATCCTCAAATTAAATACCACAGTGCTCAAAGAGCAGCTTCCACTTTGGAAACATGAAAGCAATGCATCTGAACCACAGATCTTGGAGGCAGTCTTGGTACACAGATAAATGCTAGCATTTACCAGGCCATGCACCCGGTGAGTTTGTAAAAAGCAGCATCTCTCTCAAGCTGTGCCCCCTGCCCCCCTTTTTAAAGATTTTATTTATTTATTTTTAGAGAGAGGAGGAGAGATGAAGTAAGAGAGAGAAATATCAGTCGTGCCTCTCACATGCCCCCAATTGGGTACCTGGCCCACAACCCAGGCATGTGCCCTAACCAGGAATCGAACGGGCGGCCTTTCAATTTGTAGGATAATGCCCAACTCACTAAGCCATGCTAGCCAGGGCTCAAGCTATCATTTTTATTTAGAATTTTTAAAGTACAAAACCAAATATTCTTCAATAAGACTCATGATAGAACCCATGTGATCAACAGTTATTCCACTATTTCCTAGACTAAGAGGTTTCTGAGGAACCTCTAGTTCCTGGCCACCTAACAGAACTCCCTGAGGACCTCAAAAAGAATATTTATTATACTATCACAAACAACTGAACCAGATTTGGGGATGAGGCAGGGGAGGCTGGAGTATATACTTCTCAAGGGATTATTTTGAAATTAGCCTAACTATGAACCAGTGCTCTGGAAGCGCAGTTCTAGACAACCTGCAAATAGAACATGTCCCAAATAACAGAACTATCCTGTTCATGGGCTCTGGACATTTTCCCCAATCACCCAATCAGAATCCCTCTTCCCTGTGCACCTTTTAGCTTGTGTTTCTTATACCGCTTTATAAAACTTGTGGTATTTTTCTACCACTAGAAACTAAGCTAGGGAACAGAGACTGTATTCTGATCACCTCTGTATTCCCTCAGCACGCAGAAAAAATCTTTCACATGACACAAAGTGGAAACCACTG